TCTCCTAAGCACCGTGAGGTCACTCAATGAGTCAGCGTTTGAAAGGACCAGGACTGTTATTGTGTGGTTAAAGCCCAAAGTTCATCATTGCTTGCTTAGATGGTTTCATCACGTTTGAAATGGCTCTGCATTGTGCTGAAAGAAATGTAAACTGCAGGAATGATTTGGCAGRGAACTTGTGATATTTCAGGCACCTCAAATCTTGAAAAAACCCTCTGTATTAATGCAGAAATGGTATTTCTGGTAAGGAAAAGCTTTACCTCCTGCATAGTAAAGAGGAGGGTGAAGTGGGAAGCTGTGTTTGAGGCATAAACTTTCAACTGTGTTCTCTTAAAATGAAGCTTGGGAACTATAAAATSTCCAGACAAGGACTCAGTATAGTGCCAAAGTCTGATAGGGCTTTCTATACACATGAACTTTATTAATTTTGTTTATTAAAATAGTGGAAAAAATAGAACAGAGCAATAAGCTGCAAGGAAAAGCCTTGAGAAGCRAGTCAATACTATTTTGAAGACTATCTGTGGAGCCCGTKTCTAATTTTTGTGCACATTAATTGTAACAGTCTTTAATTACATGAACACATTTTATTTTGTCACTTTTCCTTCGTGATTGCTGCAGTGCACACTGTTGTGAGTATTTAGAGGCAATTAATCACACCAGAGGAGCGAATAACTTGGAGCAGGACTCTGACTCCAGCCTGTGGCAGTCGTGGGTCTCCTCATTCACTCTGCCCTTTTCCTACATTCCTAATTAACTCCTGCCTCAGTTCCTCACTGCTCCGTGCAACCCAAAACCCTTTGTCTCAGCACTGTCTGGAGAATTGGGCCTTAGTGGTGAAGGGGAATCCAGGAGCAGCACTTGAATGTCTTTCCCTCCTGCAGTCGAGGGTGGTTGGAGTGGAAGCAGGAGCTCAGGTCATTTAGCTGCCCCAAGCCCCCCTCCCAAACATGCTCAAATGGGGATAATCAAAGGTTTGAAATGGTATGAAATCTGTTGCAGATTCTGACAAATTTCAAGAGTTTTCCTTACACTCTCGGGCTTCCCCGACAACCTTTGATTTTTTGTTAAATATCAGTTAAATTTCCGGTGCTTCTCTCGGCCGTGGAGAGGTGCGTTTATTGAGCCCACCTTTCCCTGGCCGGGTGGATGGTGAGCACGCCCGGTGGCGGGTCCGTGCGGGGTGCAGCGGGTGGAGCCCTGGAGCCGGATGAGCTCCGGCTGCTGCGGGAGCGCTGCAGCTCGGCCGGGCAGCGATTCGGGGCGCTGCTGCTGCTCCGCGCTTCCCGTGGCTGTGGCTGGGAGCCCGGCCGCTCGCGGTGTTCACGTCCCTGCCCAGATCCCCTCCGCGTGGCCCTGGCTGGTGCTGTTCCAACCCCGCCCGCGTGTCACGGGGCGCGGTTCACCCGCTCCGTGACGGTAAAACGCGGCTTTACAGCATCCCGGGCCGCCCTGCTCCCGGTGACCCTGCGGTGAAACCCCCCCGGGGCCGCACGCCGCTCCCCGCCGGTTATGGAACACCCCAACGGCGAGGGCCGGCGATGGAGCCGGCTCCGTCACAGCCGCTCATTCCGGCTCTGCCGCGCTCGCACGGGGAGGGGGCGAAGCGCGTCCGCCCCGAAACAGTCCCGTCCCCGGCAGTCTCACCTGCCGCTGTCCCGGGGAGGGGGCGGCCGGGCGGGTCCGCGCTGACCGGGCCGGCTCTCCCCCGGCCGCGGCGCGGCGGGGCGGGGCGGGGGGCGGGCGCGGCGGCGCCGCTCGCTGATTGCAGGGCGGGCGCTGCCAGTCCACCGCCTCCCCCGCGCCAGCCGCGTCCCCGCGCCGGAGCCGCACGGCCCAGCAGCGAGCGCCCAGCCCGGCCCGGCCCCGCCAGCCGCCCCCCATGGAGGAGCAGCCCCACCACCACCATCACCACCACCACTATTACTACTACGGGCACCACCACCACCACCCGCAGAGCGCCTACCTGCCGCCGCCCGACGGCCGAGCCCAGCCCAAGCCGCCGCTCCGCCACGAGCACAAGCACGGCGGCCCGCAGCACACGGAGGCGCCGAAGCGGAGACCAGGTTGGGGCGGGCGGCGGGATGGGGCCTGTGACCTTCGCGGGGCGGCGGCGGGGCCCCCCCCTCTTCCTCCTCCTCCTCCTCCGCCGCCGCCTCCCCCGGCCCGGCTCGAAGCTTCTCCGCCGCGCTGGGGCCGC